AGGAAGTCTAATTCAAGGAAGTCTAGATTATGTTATATTCGGATTTGTGGATTGCTATTGTATATCGGTATTGATGTTACTGTCCGGATTAGAGGAAGAAAACTTTTCATGTTTATGTCAACACAAAACTTCAGATTTTAAGCTGTGTCCAAATTCGAGGAAGTCTATTTCAAGGAATCTAGATTATGTTATGTTCGGATTTGTGGATTGCTATTTTAGACACCAATATTGAGGTTATGTACAAAATCGATTTAAAAGGCAACCGGATTTTGAGTCAATATTCCAAATCAGATTTGAAAAATGAATTAAATTCGAAATAGAGGTCTAATTCGAAAAGTCTAAATTAATAACGTCCGGATTTGGGGAGATCTACTATATTTTGCTTAATGGATATATTAAATTTAATCTATTCGCTTGCAATTAAACTAAATTAAATGTTTCAAGAAAGATGTTTTAAAACTTAGGTATCACATTTTTTTTAAGTGTACCCACTTTATTATAAATCAAATCTTGCAATATCATCATATAATCGTCTTGTAAATTCTTTTCGTATATAATAACAGACAGAAATATAGTTTATGTCAGTTTTAAAGTATACGACACTTGACGTTAAAAACCACCTGTTCTTTTGTAAGTCGGAAAATGCCATTTTTAACATGGAAAGAAATACGTTGCCATGTTTTGTTTGTTTTTCTGTCTTACCGTTTTTGTACATTTTCGGTAGAGAAACATGCTAACCTAAATGTTCAACACAATACCATTCCAATAGTATGCAATTTGTAAGTACCACCCAAATCGCAGCGAAGCGTTATACTTGATGTAATAAAGTTTTATAAAAGTAAATTTTATATTTTAAAGATATTTTTTGTAAGGAAAATTACATTGTGATGACAGATGGCTGAAAATGGCACTAAAATCAGCGAATGTTATTGATTTCAAAACGAAACCTATTTCTAGACAATTTAAATTAGATTCGAAAGAGTGTTCTAAATGTTTTAACATGTATTGGAAATATTAAATTTAATCTAATGACAGATTGAAATTAAAACTAAAATAAAAGCTTCCAAAAAGATTTCTTATTTTTAAAAATTCATTTTAACCCTTAGGTATTTTTTGTTGAGATACCTGAATTTAAAACAGATAAAATTTGAACGATTGTTAAATAAAAAATCAGGCATGTTCTTTAGAAATAGTACAGAAGTGTATTGGACAATAAAACAACAAAAATAAAAAAAATCATAAATTTCTTTATTTTCTATCTACATCCATTTATTAATAATACCTGAAATAAAATTTAACCTGATCATGTATCAATTTGATTTATGACTGACGAGGCTAGATTTTCCCTTTATGTATGTTTATTTCCTTCTGCGGTAGACCAGTTTATTCCAAGGCTAGAGGTGTTGTCCTGCTATTTACCCATAGCTTCTACGTAGAAGAAGAGGCTTCATACCTTTCCCAAGAGTATTAGGCACGCAAGGGAATATCAGTCAATTATGTGCCAGACGTGATACACGCTTTATTCGATTTTTTCAGTATTTTGATACGTGACTGATTATATATATATTTTTGTGTGTGTGTGTGTGTTTCTTTCTGTGTGTGTGTGTGTGTATGCTATAGAACCAGGTCGGTCCTACTATTTACCCATAGCTGGGGGAGAAGAAGAGAATTTTATACCTTTTCCAAGGGTATTAGCACGTAAGTGAATGTAATGGATTCTACTGGAGTTCGAACTCGGCCCATCGATTCCTCAGTCCGAGTGCTTGTACATTACGTTGGTGTGCAGGCTTTTTTTTAAAATCATTTCACCGCAAGCAAGGCGGGAATGCTGCTAGTACGCAGTGGGTGGGGGTACAGAGAGTGAAAGTGACAGAAAACTCTGGGTTGAAGAAGGGGTTGAAGAAAGGGGATTCCAGAACTTAGAAGATGGCGATTGACGTTGCATTTAAATTTTTGAAGATTGCAATTATCAGGGAAGAAAGTAAACGGAAGGAAGTTCTACAGCCGGAAAATACGAGAAAAAAAAAACTGGTGGAATAGAAGAGGTGATTGCATTTAATTATTTCGACAGTAAAATGGTGGGACCTAGTTGCCAATCCAGTGGCACGCTTAAATTCATGTAGTCCGAAACCTGGGAACAAAAAATCCTCAGAAAGTTGCCATGAAAATATAAATAACTAAATTTTTGATTTTTACTTATTTATTAGTAGCAGTATAACCCGCCTTCGACCGGGTGTTTCATTTCTGGGAATTTTTGCCACTCATTTGGAACAGTTTAAGTTCAAAGTCAGCCCATCCGTAAATCAAGATTATTAACAACAAATGGGAGGGGTTAACAGTTTGAATGATGGCGGCCGGGAAAAGGACCGTTTTTGTGTTCACAATCTGGCAAGGAAGGAACCTCTTCCATGGACTGTCATAATACTAATAATAATATACGTATAATTTTTTATTTAAATATATATATTTATTTTATAAATCTAATAATCTTTTGGATGTTAGATTTTTCAACTCTATAATACAAAATTTAAACATTAAATATTTTTTCAACTCTGTACGCTTCTTTTTTACAGACTTTAAATTTTTTCCTTTGAATTTTTTTCCAAAATAGTAAAAAAAATCAGTTTTTTTCGATTTTTCAAAATTTAAAGGTTGGAATTTCTTCCAAATGAATTTGAACTCAAAAACCGGCATATGTAATGAAAAAAATTGAATTATCCATTAAAAAAAAAATAAAATAGAAAATAAATAAAATAAAAATAATCGAAAACGGATGAAAAACTGTGTGAAACGAATAAAGAATATCCGATCATACACACATTTTCAACCATTTTGAAAAACTTACTTATTATAAAATTACCTTGTGTGTGTGTGTACGTTTATATATTGGATCGAATTTCTTACATTTTAAAACCGATTTCAACAAAATGGTTGACAGGACTAAAAATTATCTTCATCAACGTAAAAAATTATTATCACGATTATTATAAATCGTTGACATAGAATGAAAAATATATCAAATGTGTGTGTTATAAAAACCCAGTGTTGTTTGTGTGTGTATGTGTGTTCGTTTATATATGGGATCTCTCCTACATTTTTCAACCGATTTCAACAAAAACTTCACTTTTTTTGACAGGTAGTGTTTCTTAATGCCTTGCACACTTTTTTTTTATTTTTGATTTTCACATTCAAAATTCCATTTAAAATTCTATTTATAATTGTATTCTATTCAATCGGTAGACTCATACCGATTGAAAACAATGTTTTTTTTGAGTTTGGGTTTGACCAATTCGTAAAAAAAAAAAAAAAAAAAAATTAAGACAAATTTTTCCGTCAACCTTAAACAATAATCTTTGTCAATTTTATTTTTCAGTCTTTATGATGGTCGATACTTGATCTATCTCTTACTGTTACATGACCGGGCAACGCCAGGCTCTACTGCTAGTTATAGATATAGATTGCATTTATTCTGAACCAATACCAATCGTTATCTTTTATCTTTCTATATCCTGTGCTTTTATTGTCCTCTCTCCTTAATAATGTTTTATTTTATTTATCTCTTATTTTTTCAGACTCAGTAAGCCATTGCATCTTAGTGGCTTTATTTCCTTGTTTAGAGTGATTAAAAAAAAGAATAGAAAAATATCCTGATCAAAGTTTTCGTATAACGTAGCATACCGTCTGAATGGATTCTTTTAAAATTATTTTTTGGTTGGTCTTAAAGTCTGAAGGTAAATAAAACAGAAATGAATACAATAGATAAAAATTTGAATTCGAAACGACAATTTAATCAAGTCTCAATCTGCGCCGCTATCTAAAATTATAAATAAGATGCTACGTCTTAACATTTCATTTTTACGTACTAATATTCCCTTGGAAAAGTTATAAATCCAGCATTTCTTCCCCCACCGCCTTTTAAGCTATGGGAAAAAACATAAGGAATATTTTCCCCATAGCCTTTTTGGCAACCGGTCTAATAGAAGAAAAACTCTGAATTCAAAAATCACTTGGAGATGATTGGTTTCCGTCTAAAATTTTGTCCAAGAAACACCGTTTTAATGCAATGCAGTACATGGAAAATCTACACCCTGATGGGTCAAGGCCTTTAAACGCCAAAAGGTGATTTTCTTCAAATTTTTTAAATTTAAGTGGTGAAAATTTATAAAAGCTCGCGAAACGAATTTGAAACCCCATTTGCTTTTGATAAATCATCTTAATCATAATCGACTACAGTAAATATTTAATAAAGTTTTATATTCAATGGAGAAAATTGATGCCACCAAAGGCAATCGTACTTTCTCACCATAAGAAATAATTTCGCCCGAAAGATACGTAAGAGCGTTCAGAATTCGGATATTGATGAATTGAAGGGTTTTTACCGATGAAAAAACAGACACCATAAAGACCAGAAAAGGGTGTAAACGACTCGCAAAAACGTCCTTCTTCTGCTGGGCAATATTGGTTGGCGCGCGCAAAAGGAAGCCTAACTGTTAGTTCTAATCGCTTTATGTATAGAATCGGCTCCAATAAAGCGATCTTAGTCGACAATCACGTTCCGGGGAAAAGTCCTTCGATTGCCCGTGTCTGTCTGAGTGAGACCGGCGAGAAATCGGAACCATTTCCCAAGATGGAAAGATTAGGGAAGAGTGGGAGGAAAATGGTAGGAAAAGAAAAATGCAAACGAGGAAAGAAATTTTTTTTTTTTTTTTTTTAAATTTTCTTTTCCAACAGGAAAGAAAAATTCCAAATTATTGAAAGAAATGAAGTAAAAAATAAATTTTGAAAGGAAAATATATTAGAAAAATTTAAAAACAGAAGAGAATTTTAAAAAGAAAAAAATGAAAAAAAAAATGAAAGATTTGCAAAAATGAGAGTGAAAGACAGAAGGAAAAATTAAAAAAAAAAAATGTCGGAGAAAAAAAAGAATGAGAAAGAAAGAATGACATTCAGAAACAAATTTGAATTAATATTAGAGATAAAAAAATATATATATATATATATTAAATAAGAAAACAAGAAAAATAATGAAAAAAGAAAGAAAATTTGAATGAATGATCAAAGAAAAAAAATAGATTGAAAGAATGAAAAAATAAAAGTAAGGAATTGAATAAAAAAAAAAGAAAGAAGATAACAAAAAAACTAATAAGAAAAAGAAAAAGAAATAAATTTCCAGATAAATTCAAAACCATGAGTGCTGAAAAGAAAGATGGCACCAAAAAATAAGGATAAAATAAGAAGAATATTAAAAGAAAGAAAAAAATCATAAATATAAATAATTAAATATATATATATTTATAAATATATATATATAAATATATATTTTTTTATTAAAAAAAAAGCATGAAAAAAAAGAAAGAAAAATTTAAAGAAATAAAAATTTATGGAAAGAATATAAATATAAATATTTTTATGATCAATTAAAAAAAAGAAAATAAAATAAAAAATTAACGATTAAGAAGAAAAATAAAAAAAATAAATCCCAAAGAAAGTTTTTTAAAAATGGAAAATAAATAAAAAAAAAAAAAAAAAAAGAAATTTGAAATATAAAACCAAAAATATATATATATATATTATATAAAAAACATTTAAAAACAATGGTTTTGGTAAAAAAAAAAAAAAAATCTCTTCTTTCTTATAAATATATATATATATATATATATATATAACATATATATAAATTGGGTAAATATAAAAAAAAGTATTTTTTTCCAATTAAAATTTAATTTCTTTATTGATTTGCAATTAAATCAAAAAATGGAAGCTAAAAATCACAATTTAAATATATAAATTAAAAATAAAGACATTAAAAACATTTTTTCCTTTTAAAAATATAAAGTAAAAATTTTTAAAATATTTTTTTTTTCTCATCAAAGTTTGAAAAATGAAATTTTAAAATAAATCTAAAAAAAAAAACAAATTCAATTCTTTCCTTATGTCTTCATCATTTTAATATGGTTATAAAATATAATTAAAAAAAAAGGAAAAATGTATTTTTAAATGAAAATATTTTCAAATGATGAATGCATATCGTCTGGAATTTTTAAAATTTTTAAATTAAATTTGATAATTAAAGAAAAAAAAAATTTTTATTCTAAATTTTTTTTTTAAATTAAAACAAAATTTTTTTTTTTTGTAAATTCAGTTATATTTATATATTTATATTAATGTACTAATTTTTTAAATATTCTCATTTTTTTTTTTTTAAAATATATTTTTTGAAACAGTTAAATTTATTTGCAAATTTGATATAAATTTTATATATACTTATATTTTTAGAAATTAATAATAAATATAAGTATTAAATGAAAAAAAAATAAATTTTTTTTTTATTTAAGTTTAAAAAAATTAAAATAATTGACATCAAAAATAGTTAAATAATTTCACTTACTTTAGTTCAAATTTTTTTATATATAAACCAAAATAATATATTTATTTCTCATATAAAAACAAAGAAATTGGGTCATTCAAAAGAAAATGAGCATTTTTATTCTTGTTTTTTTTTATAAAAGAAATTTTATTTTTTTTGAAAAAATTCAAATAAAATAAAATTTAAATTTTATTCTCATTAAAATAAAATTTTATAAATAAATGTATCCATTTATATTATATTTCATTATATATTAAATATATATATATATATATATATATATATATATATATATAAATATATTTAATTGTAGTATTATATTTCTTAATTTATATATATATATATATATATATATATATATATATATATATATATATATATATATATTTTGTTGGATAGATGTGAGTTTGTGACCCTGGGTTTCACGCTTTAGCGATCGTCAGACAAACTGATTATTAATGTTTTAAAAATTTGGGTTTATGTAGATTGCGTGTATTGGTGTTATTATGGAAGTGGTGGGGGAATTTCGTCGTTTTGTCATTCATCGTACTAACGCAAACATCGATGTATGCAGACACATATATATACATAAATGGTCGTATAATATATATACTCATAATATATATATAATATATAACATATGACAGACAGTTTCGGATATGACACATGTATGTATATACTCAAATTGTGTCTATACATACGCATTTGTATGTTGAAATGTTGAAATTTAAACATTGGAAGTGTGGCGGAAATGTCTCGTTAATGTCTCGTATAATGTATATATGTCATATTATTTTTTTTTTTTTTTTTTTTTTTTTTTTCCGCAAAAATATTTTAAATAATGTATGTATATATATAAAATAAATTATTTAAAATTATGATAGGTAAAAAATTATTATTTATTTATATTTATTTTTAAATTTTTAAAAAAAAAAAAAATTTTTATTTGTTATATTTAAAGCTGGTTATTTTGTTTGTTTTTTTTGATGTATTTATGTGTAAAAACAAAGAAATTGTAACAAGGTAAAAAATTTTTAATGGTTATTGTTTAATTTATTATTGAAATATGTTTAATTTAAAATATAAATAATTTAATATTTATATGATATGATGTGATATATAATATGTTTTAAATTGGATTGGATAAAAAAATTTTATTTTTAATAATAGTTATTGTAAATTGGAAGAAATTGCAAATTGGTAGAAATGATTAGTAACGGTGGTGGGAGAATGATAAAAACCATGAATGTAGTTATATGGTGGTAAAAAAAACTAAAAATTTTGTTGGTTTTTTATTTTTATTTTTTTTATTTTTATTATATATATTAATTTATTTTTGGTATAAATCCTGATAATAGGTATTCTATGTAAAATTTTTATATATATTTAATATAATATAATTTTAATTATATTATTATATATTATTATATTTTAAAGCTGCCTGGTAATAGATGTTTTTTCTCATGGTTTCATATGGAAATTATATCTGATCATATTGTTTTAAAGTAAACAAATATGCTGGGGGGATATATAATAAAATTGTATTGGATTTATAATATTAATAATGGGTGTGATGTTTATTCTTCTGGTGCTGTGTGTGTGTTTGGTAATGATAATATATATGAAATATATATTTTAATTTTAAATTGATTATTAATGAAAGCATGTATAATAATAGATATTGCAATTATTTTTGATGGTATATGAAATTAAATTATTATATTGTTGGTGGTTTGTCTTAACAATTTTATCCGTTTGGTTGAATTCAATAAAATATTTAATACTTGTTCTCATGCCTACATTTGGAAATTATCTCTTTTTTTTTTTTAACAAATGTTCTTTTTTTCTTGTGTGAATATTTATTTAAACTTTTTCGTGTATTAATGAGAAAACATTTTTTATGTTTGTTGTTGTAGGCAAAAAGGCTTTGTAATAGAATTTTTTAACAAACTTATTGTTGGTGTGATATTTTTTTTTTTTTGCTGCCATATGTATGTAGAAAAATTGTGCTGTTCGAATATTTCCTGTTGTTGAATTAAAGGTTGAATAAATGTTATTCCTCATCTTGAATGGACCTTCAAAATAAATGTAAAGCATAAATGTTGTTGTTTGTACTTATTGAAATCATATGTATATTGTGTTCGTAAGTTGGCAATTTCCTGGAGTGGACATGTTGTTCTGTTTCTGCAAATGCATATTTTATTTTATTGGTTACATTTTTTTTTAAAAACATTTTTTTTTTTGTGGTTTTTTCTTATTTCTTTTTCATTTTTTTTTGTAAATTATGTAAACTGATCTTTAAAGAATTTTTTTTAAAATATTTTTGAATATTTGTTTTCTTCATTAAATTTTTCTTATTAAGTTTAGGAATATTTTTCCTATGTTCGTTTTAACAGTTTTTTTATATATTGTTATTAAACCAGATAATGTTTTCTTTCTGTTTCTGCGTTTTTACATCTGTGGAGGAAATATTAAAATAAATGTTGTTGTAAAATTTTATATTTTAAATCAAAATTTTTGCAATATGGTTATTATTTTTTTGAAAATAAATTGTTTAACTTAGGATTATTTCATTTAGTCTGCAAATGATTGATTTTTATAAAAACTATTGGATAAAAATTAAAATGGTTGGATTTTTTTTTTTTTATTGTATAATAATTTATTTTTTTTTTGTATGGTTCATTTGTTAATTGTTTATCATTTTAATATAAATATAAATAACGTTATATATATATATTAAATGTATTTATCTATATTATTTTCATCATAAAAAATTTTAAAAATATTTTTTATTTTTTTTTTGAAAAAATTTGTCTTCAGAAATAAAACAAAAAAAATTAATTTAATAAGAATTTCATCTCTGTAAATCCTTGTCCTTTTATTTTTCTGTTTTAAATAGAATTGATGGTATGCAAATTCGATATATCTGTTCCATATTTATCATTTAAATTTTTAAACAAACAGGTTATCAAGAACCTTTTTTAAAATGGTTTATTGTTGTGGATTTAAAATTTTTCAAATTATGTTGGTTCATTTTTAATTTATTTAACAGTCCTTTAACAAAATTTTTATCTTTAAGTGTGTTAAAGTATTTTATTTTTTAATATTCTTTTCTTAATATAAATATTTATTTTATCAAATAATGTCAATGCAATGAAAGTAAGATTTATTCTTATATTTAACTTTTAAATTAAACCATTGTATATTCAAATTATATTTTAATATTTATACTGGTATATTAAAATTTTTTATTATGAATGTTGATATTTTCAATATTACAATAATAATTTTTGATAAACAAATTAAATATTTATAAATATATATTTGGGTATTTTATATATAAATATATTTTTATGATTTCAAATTATTTATGAAATCTTTATAAATATCAAAAAAATTTTATAACATTTCATTTAAATTTTTTTATATTTAAATGTAATCTTTTTCTATATATATATATATATATATGTGGTGATATATATATATTTGTATATATATATTAAATATATATTAAATAGGAATAAATTAAATAATCATAAGTATATATTTATATTATTTTTATATAATATATATATATATATATATATATATATATATATATATATATTATTTATTTAAAAATATGATTCCAAATCGCTACATAAGAGGTCTCATGTTTCAAAACAAGAGCCGAAAACTTCAATATAATTATTTAAATTAAATTGAGTTTAAATTAAAATGGGCTCTGTTCCATCTTCAAGCGAAATTTTTTTTGGAATAACGTATATCTGAAATTTACGTGTTTTAAAAATTGAAATCAAAAATTTCCATGGTAACAGCTAGGGCGA